AAATGTTGAATGGCGCTTCCCTACATATTTTGACCGAAACGTGGTCACTTCCGGCGCGATGATCAGTGCCATTTCCGGTTCCGCTCAGGTCACTTTTGGAGTTCAGTGGATAAAAAATGCCATCCCAGAACGTGTCTTTAGAGATGGTTCAAGTGGGACGTCTCAAATGGCACAACACACTGCAGAGATGACGAAAACCCTCTAAATACGGCAAAAACGACGATTTTCACGTTGTTTTTAAACAAAAACGGCTTTTGCCCGGCCCTAAGAACTTGTCCGACAACTCTCCCAAAATTTCACAGCATTCAGACATACATTCCGCATTAAAAGCGAGCACTGAGAATGAAAGAGTCGTGATCATGACCTAAATTTTGAGTGAGGAATTCTGAGGAAGGTTTCCTCGCCCAAATTAGAGTCATAACACCCATCCACACCCAATTTGGGGCGTGGAAGCTTCCTTCAGCCAATTTTGGGCGAGGAAGCTTCCCTCGCCTAAATTTGGGCAAGGAAACATTCCTTGCCCAAATTCGGGTGTTAAGAATACCTCACCCTAAATAGGGCGTATTGATCAAGACTTTTTCATTCTCAGTCACATAGGGCATGTCAAATTTGTTCCGATTCCAATGTTACCGTCAACGGGGGTAACTTGGGACAGTCTGCCCTGTACAGCCTGTTGGTGCTGCCATTCAGCGAAGGGGGTTCCCAGCGTCAAACCCGCGGCTGGATTTTGTTTCAGAGGCCTCAGGGCACGCGCGGAAAGGTGGAAGAGGTGCTTAACATCACAAATAGTATTTGAGAAACGTGAAACTACATAATAGGGTTTTTGACAAAATATGTCAATCATTGACAAGTTGACCCTAATGCAACGAGTGAAATGCAGATTTGGCCGATTAGTCTCTCTAGGTTGTTAGATCATACACAGACAATAACGTTCGCAAAAGGGCGTTGATTATAGTTTTCCCATCTTCGGTCCAAACTTCAATTTATCAAAAAAACAAATTTTACGGGGTAACTTGGGTCAGTCTTTTCCTCATGTTTCCAGCAGTCCTAGCCTTCTAGGAGTTGACTGACCCGGTCCCTGACATAACTTAAACGTCGGATTTTACGATGAAGATGGAAAGAGATGCCTTGCTCTGTAATTTTGTCTTCTGGCAATGCATATTTTGAAATTTTCAGAAAATGCCTAGAAAATACCAGTAGAACAAAGAGTTCCACGTAGAGCCCTAGATTTAGTCCAATGTCGGTCCTACAAGAGTTCCTCGGCCCGAATTCTCGGTCTACATGTTGTGACTTCAATTTATTACATCCATTGACATCAATAGATGCATGGGAATGTAGCTTATTACCTACTGTCCCAAGTTACCCCCGGTCATGGGGTAACTTGGGACACTCTTTCGAGACCGCTGGGAAACGATACAATCGAGGCAAATGAACCAGACAAGCATGAAATCATGGGATAAGGGTCAAACTTAAACATAGTGAGGATCCATTGGTCTGGGTTGAGTATCTTGCCTCTGGCGTTCGAAAAACGTGAAAAAGTGTCCCAAGTTACCCCCGTTGACGGTATGGTCGTAAAAAAGCGTCATTTCTGATGTTTAGATCCAAGAAGGGGGCGGCGCCGGCGAAAACTCTTTTGGCACTAGTCTTACAGTATCCTGGGGGTCCCAATCCTGTGAAACACTGGTAAAACTAAAGCGCAACTCTATGCTTGCTTGAAGACGTTACGCTTGAATAAGCATAGTCTGGAAATTCCCCCATGCATTTAGATAGGGGGAATCTTGGCGGATGAGCCTGTTACGCTTGATTTCAAGCGTAAACAGATTACTCTTGAAAACAGAGGGTAATACTACGCTTTAGTTTTACCAGTGAAAGATTATCGATATTAGATCCATTGCTCCACCCTAGTCTACAAGACGGGACGGCACTGATGCTCCTCTGGCGAAATTTTTCAGTGGGCAATCCTCTGGTCTCTGGTCCCCCTCTATTTGAATCCATGACATGTCTCGAGAGAGCCGTTGGGTTGGGGGAAGAATGACCCTTTCGCCAAAATAACCACTAACTGCTAAGGGATGGAGGTGCTCAATCGCTCCACATTCCCGTCCAATACCAGCACTGTTATCCAAGTTGCGATACTTTCAACACAAAAACGTGCGATAATATCCAAAATGTGATTCCCACGAATCATTACTCCCCAGATGCGATTACTTTTGTATCACAAAATTTTTGCAATGATCATCGCACATTTCTGCAATGAAAGTAGAAATTATTGCATAATGCGATGGTGGCAACACAAAATGTGCATTCAATACAGTTTTTTGCAATGATCATTGCAAAATTCTGCGATGCTGCAGCTTACCACACCTTTTTGCAATGATCATCACAGAAAAGAGCGATGAAATTTGTATCGCGCTGAAAGTGCGGTCTGCATCGCAGGTGGAATAACAGTGAGCTGCACAAGGGGCAATGCCAACTTTTCTTTTTCGATTGGCCCACGCACTTGCCATGGTACCGAGGCATACATAACACGCCATCTGCTGGACTTACGTGACGAATAAGAGGGCTTGGCATAGGAATTGGCATTATGGTACAAAAACATCGAGAGTTAGACCGGAAGTTGAGAAGAAATCAAGAACAAACGCCGGACTGAAAAGAGAATATAACTCTGCGGAAGCGACGCTGACGCTCATTCTTATACTCATTTCCCATGCTTTGTTCTTCTTGATTTCCTGTTAACTTCCGCTTCAGCCCTTCTCGGAAGTACCCTATTATTCCATCAACGAGGTGGCCGGTGCTGTACCATTCGAGTAAATCCCTCGTACGATAGACTTGCCCGGACTTGGCACCAACATGCTCGCGCTGCAGTGCCTATCCCAGGGAACTAGGCACAAGACCGTCATTTCTGTCAAATACCAAAATTTGGTGACACTCAGAATCCAAACGCTATGTGCATAGCGTCGATGTGCAATACCTCCCCATTCCCATGCATTAGCATTGGGCATTTTCGGGATGCATCGCACGTAAGGTGCGATATGGCTATGGCATCGCACGTATGGTGCGATATCTCAGCTGCATCGCACCATACGTGCTATACTCATGGCGTTTGGAATCTTAGTGGAAATATGTTGTCTTTGAGGTTTGCACACTTTTACATATAGCCGTTTACCGTCTAAAGAAGGCAAATACCCACGAGTGTTATTTCACTTACCGAAAGGGCATGAAATTTCCTTTCAAATTGACCCTACCAGACCTCTGTGTGTTGCCGATCACCTTACTCTATGGCCTCAAATATGTGCCATTTTGGCTCAAAATGGGTCAAATCGGCGGTTTTTTCTTTATCAACGGGCTGTGGAGCGAAAACTTGGGCCGTATCCCGTACTTCGGGACTTTGAACTTGGGTATAGGGTCGGAGACATACAGATTGCACCCTGAATAAGTTGATTTTTCGATTTGGAACACCGCGAACCAGAGCCTCAAAAGTTCCTGAATAATAAGCTCAAAAGCGCGATTACGGATAGAAGGAGTCGAGGTACGATCCGTCCGGGGGCATATTCGGATTCCTCTCGTGATTTTACGTGTATGTTACTGTCGACTCTGTCATTTTGTCCATTTTTGCTGTTGTCATTATGTCCACAAGTCATCCCCACGACTTTGGCTGGACGGGCGCCACCGGCCGGTGCCTGGCCTTAGAGACCCTCCCGTCAGAGATGCTCAAAGCCCTGCGCGAGGCTACGTAGGTCAGCATCTGGTGCGGCTCAGCAGGTATACGGCGGTCGCCCGCTAGCCTGACTCAGGGTGCCTTTGACTCCACGGGACTACCAAGCGCTGGCTTGCGCATCTCTGACGGGAGGGTCTCGACCTCGCCTCGCCGGCCCCGGACTGACCCAGCCCAGGTAGGGATTACGGCGGCCTTATCCGCCCAGGCTGTTTTCATTTTGTCCGCAGCTCCTCCCGGGTAGGTGGACAAAATGACAGTCGACCGTACCGTTTTCGTCCTACTAGACTGAACGGGACCCATTTTTTGCTTCGTATTTAAAAGTTTTGGAAAGTCTTAAGGGGGCAATACACTCAAAATGGCCAAAAACTGACTTGTGCGATTGCTTCCATTCGCGTTGTTGAGCGTTGTTCAAACTTTTCATGTGTCAAGACCTTACAAAAAGAAGCATTTTAAGCCCAGAATGGCGTCGATCGGACGTCAGGGAGCGGAGCAGCGCCCAATCAAAATTTGGTCAAAAGTCGAACTGGCGGGCGTCCCTCAGTCCGCAAAAATGAAGATATCTTGACCCCGTTTGCGCCAAAATGTAGGTAATTAAAGCGGCTATAGCGCAAACTAGGATTATGAACATCGAACAATCAAAAGTACAAAATTTTACGAAAAAACCTGTTTTGATCATTTTTGCAAAATCCTCAAAAAGTGTTTTTGGATGAAATTTAGTACTTTCGGTTGCTCGATGTTCATAATCCTAGTTTGCGCTATAGCCGCTTCAATTACCTACATTTTGGCGCAAACAGGGTCGAGATATCTTCATTTTTGCGGACTGAGGGACGCCCGCCAGTTCGACTTTTGACGAAAATTTGATTGGGCGCTGCTCCGCTCCCTGACGTCCGATCGACGCCATTCTGGGCTTAAAATGCTTCATTTTGCAAGGTCTTGACACATGAAAAGATTGAACAACGCTCAACAACGCGTATGGAAGCAATCGCACACGTCAGTTTTTGGCCATTTTCAGTGTATTGCCCCCTTAAATGAAACCTCTGAACCGCTATATCTCGGAAACCAAAGCACTGGGGCTAGCTGAGAGATTTCACATGGGTGTCCTCCCCATGAGGGCAACATTTGAGCTAAATGTCAGCAAAATCGGAGCAAAATCGGAGATTGTCGATTTAGGTCGTGTAAATTTACCATAATACGCCCCCTGCTGCAATCTGTGGGTGTAAAGCACGTAAAAAAGGTCTGCAGAATTTGTCAGAACGTGGTAGGAATAGTATTAATGAGACTCGGATGGATTGCTGTTTTGGACCGAATGAGTTTATTTACAACAGTACATCAGGCATGGAGAGTGACTATGTTACATGGAGTGGCGTCGGATCGTGCAGGCCATTTTATTTTACCACACTACTCGCCCACTATGATCGCTAGGTTAAAAATGCCGGCGCTAATCGGTAGCTTAAATGTCAAATAGTGACGGTTTGCATAGAGATTACACACTTCCCCCCAAACAAAGGCTGTTAATTAACATACTACACGACGTATACAACACGCAAATGACTGACTTTAAACGAAAATCAATGACAAAATGGTCAACAACAAGTTAAAATTCAATGTTACTTCCGACCAACGTTGTAACACCGTAAAAAAAAAGTCCGTTCCATGAAAGAGACAACCCGAAAAATTAACAATGAATGACATGACAGAATTAGTGATTGCAAAGGCAAACCTAACCTGGTGACTTGCACTTATTTTAGACGGTCACAACAACGCACGAACTCTGCAAGATGTTTCACCTCTCACTGAAATAGCAAACCAGCAAACATATTGCTCGGTTAGTGCCTATTTTTTTTTTTTTTTTTTTTTTTTTGTAGCGAAACGTTGCGTCTACCAATGGAGCACTTTCTCTCACACTTGATTGGAAAGACAAAATTTTATTACATTTACCAAGCGAGGAGACCTCAGCTTGCCCTTTAAAATTCGACACAAGCTGGTGGTTTGATGGTTGTTTAAGCAAACACTATTTCAAAATTGCTCCCAGTGTCGTTGGACACATTACAAAGGGCATGCAAAACAAAATCAGAGCACATGAAATCTTTGCAGAGGACTCTAAAAACTACATAAGAATTGAATTCGTACACTCGACTTAAATTCTAAATACAATCTCCGTTGTCTGCAGTTTGAGTCTCCGGAGCGTGCACCTTCCTGTGCAGAGACAGTTGACTTCTATGAGTGAACTTTTTAAAGCACACCTCGCACTCGTAAGGCTTCTCACCAGTGTGAACCCTCATGTGCGTATCAAGAGTTCCCTTTAGAGTGAACTTCTTCTGGCACACGCTGCACTCGTAGGGCTTCTCCCCGGTGTGGATCCTCCCGTGCCATTCAAGACTTTGTTTAGTCAAGAACGTTTTCCCACACTCGTCGCACTCGTACGGCTTCGCACCACCGTGAACCCGCTTGTGCACATCAAGAGTACCTTTCAGAGTGAACTTCTTCCCACACAAATCACACTCGTAGGGCTTCTCACCGCTGTGGATCCTCATGTGCCATTCAAGACTTTGTTTCATCGAAAAGTTTTTCCCACACTCGTCGCACTCGTACGGCTTCTCTGCAGTATGAACTCTCATGTGCACATCAAGGTTACCCTTCACACCAAACTTCTTCCCGCACACATCACACTCGAACGGTTTCTCTCCGGTGTGCTTCGTCGCGTGTCTCTCCAGCTTGGAAGCTGATGGCCAGTCCTTGCCGCACACTGGACACACGTGTTGCTTCGCCTTGGAGTTGCCTGCTCGGTGCTTCCGCGGGGCCGCCTTGTCCCGAGACTTGTTCCCGGACTCCCCGAGCTTGGAGTCCAGCCTCGCCTTCCTGCTGCGCGTCTGCCGCGAAGCCTTCTTCACCTGCCCCGCATCGCCGGCCGGGCCGGCCAGGGAAGAGGTGCTGCTGATGCGGAGCCGCGGGGTGGCCGCTGGGGGTCCTGTGAACAACACTGTGCCAAAAAACAACGGTTAATCCCGTTAATTTTTTTGCCGGGATTTACTGTAGTTCAGAACACAGGATTTACTGTGCCTGGCCACAGTATTTACTGTGCTTGGCTACAGTATTTACTGTACCTGGTACAGGATATTCCGTACCCCACTTCTGTGGTACAGTAAATCCTGTACAAAGTACAGTAGATCCGGTAAAAAAGTACAGTGAATCCTGTAATCTGAACTACAGTGACAGCTGTACTAATCACTACAGGTGCTACAGGATTTACTGTGGTTTTTTTCCCACAGTGAAGGCAACGGATTCTGCCAATTAAAAGGTCCAGTCAGAGACCAAAATTTTGTTTTCTGTTTGGTTTTTAGAACTCTTCCAGGCCGATCGTAGGAAGGAGGAAAGGACGTGGCATCACAAATTGTGACTCCATAAAACCAGAGTGCGCGATGAAAAAAATCCTGTCAAGCGTTTCTCGAGGGGTCCTATCCAAAAGATTTTATCTGCGCGTTCCCCCAAGGCAATCTTATCTTAAACGCAAGCAAATTTCACTCATTTTGATCAATTGGAATGGATACGTCAGTAAGCGGAATATATTTCTTCATGCTTTTTTGGTTTCTTTGATCTTCCATCTTCAGATTTACGTGAACAAAATCACAAATTATATTGATATGTAGCTGTATCAAACGATCAAACTAAGTGAAATTCATCTGTTTTTAAGATAAGATTCACTTGGGGGGAACGCCCAGATAAGATCTTTTGAATAGGACCCCTCGATCTTACGTGCCAGTAAGGTCCTTTTTTGCCAAATGAACGTTTAGAACAAGACTGAAACAACAATCCTGCTGGTGCAGCTGATTACTGGTCATTTTTTCCAAAATAATTTTTCCAATAGTATACACTGAGAATGACAGAGTCATGATCATGACTAAAATTTTGGTCGAGGAATTCTTTATCACCCAAATTTGGGTGAGAAAGGTTTCCTTACCCAGATTTGGGTCATAATACTATGGAGCCATATAGGTAGCTGAAACACCCTTCCTTACCCAATTTTGGAAGAGGAAGCCTTCCAATTCGCCCTAATTTGGGCGAGGAAACTATACTCGCCTACGCCTTACTTAGCATGAAGGAGGCATCGAACGTCAAAACCGACGAAATTTTCCCCTCAGATACGTTGGGTCATTTACCCGAGAGACAGTGTTATTTGATCAAAATTCCTTTGAAAAATGCCGCATGTAGCTGCACTTAGGCCCTTGGGGCGGGTACTTCACTCTCAGCACGTTACTGACTTTTTCCTCGTTAATTATGTATTCGTATAAACAGCAATAATACTTTGTATATTCTAAGTACGTATGAGTAATTTCCTTTGAAAAATTATGTACAAAACAAAATTCTCAGTACATTATTAAATACTGACAAAATGAGCAAAAAGTCAATAACGTGCTGTCAGTGTTCCAAAGACAAATCCGAAAAGCTAGAAAACTAACTTACCATTTTATAAGCAAGTCATGGGCCTAAGTTACGGTTTAAAACTTCAACGCTTGCGATAATGTTATGGTGCCCTTTCGGGGTAAGTTAAGGATCCCTAAATTTCTTTTTCTCCACATTGACTCGAAACTCACCTTCAACTGAGCTTCCGTCCGAGTCGTCTCCATGGTCCTGTCCTCCAAGGATCACGTGTTGCCTCGCCTTGGAGTTGCCTGCTTGCTTCTTCCGCGGGGCCGCCTTGTTCCCGGACTCGCCGAGCTTGGAGTCCAGACTCGCCTTCCTGCTGCGCGTCTGCCGCGAAGCCTTCTTCCCCTGCCCCGCATCGCCGGTGCTGCTGATGCTGAGCTGCGGGCTGGGCGCTGGGGACCCTGTCAACGAGACAATGGATTCTGAATATAAAGAAAGAAGTCCAGTCACAAACCGAAAAAATTCTGTCCTGGTTGGTTCTTTGACCTCTCTTCCAACAAAGGCAAACTGCGTGACCGATCTTACGAAGGAAGATAGACCTGGCATTATATAGTATTGTATGACTTTATAAAACGAGTATGCAGGATGAAATGAAATCTGTCAAGCGCATCTTGCGTACCAGTAAGTTCCTGCTTTGCAGAATTAACATTTAGAACACGGATCTAATGTTATCGCAATCCTGCACTGGTGGAACAAAGGCATTAAAATTGTACCCGTAAGGGCCGTACACTAGGGTGGTCCACTTTTTTAAAAAGTTTCAAAAATTGAGGAGCGCCGTCCAGATTCTGAAAGTAGGTGTAAAATCATGAATTTTGGTACAAATATGATATGATTTGGACCATCCTTAGGGGTCCATCAACGCCCCTGAACTTTAAAGAAAAGTTGAAAATGTAGCGGTATACTAAAATCGATGCTGTTACGAGAGTCTTTGTCCGATTTTCGATTGCAAAACGGCGATCTTTTCAGAAAAGTGCGCTCTACTTGATGATGTACATAAAATGACGATCCGACGCATTGCCTATTTTCCAGGGGCGAACAATCCCGTTTTTAGCCTCTAAATCCAACATGTTCTTGCGTTTTGAAGGTGTTTGAGTCGTCCGATCGGATTTTGTGGGTCACTATTCGACGCGCCTGATCAAAACCTTTCGAAAAATGTCTCAGGCGTCAAAATCGGTTGGTTTGCCTACTGTACAGGAGCAAAAAACCACTGAAATTCGCTTAAAAATTGCTTTTTCGCGATACGAAATATCCTGTTTGGCATTGGGTCGGATTTCTTGTGGTGCCATTTGTCGCGCCTGGTCAAAAACTTCCAATTACCGTCCTGGGTGTACAAATCCGGTGGATTGCCGACCCTACAAGCAAAAAATGTCGAATGTCGAAAAATTCGTCTGTAGGATACGCGACCCTCTGGATTCAGGCGCTCGAAACGGTAATCGAAAGTTTTTCACCAGGTACGTCAAATGGCACCACAAGAAATCCGACCCAATGCCAAACAGGATATTTCGTATCCCGAAAAAGCAATTTTCAAGCGAATTTCAGTGGTTTTTTGCTCCTGTACAGTAGGCAAACGAACCGATTTTGACGCCTGAGACATTTTTCGAAAGGTTTTGATCAGGCGCGTCGAATGGTGACCCAAATAATTCGATCGGACGACTCAAACACCTTCAAAACGCAAGAACATGTTGGATTTAGAGGCTAAAAACGGGATTGTACGCCCCTGGAAAATAGGCAATGCGTCGGATCGTCATTTTATGTACATCATCAAGTAGAGCGCACTTTTCTGAAAAGATCGCCGTTTTGCAATCGAAAATCGGACAAAGACTCTCGTAACAGCATCGATTTTAGTATACCGCTACATTTTCAACTTTTCTTTAAAGTTCAGGCGCGTTGATGGACCCCTAAGAATGGTCCAAATCTTATCATATTTGTATCAAAATTCATGATTTTACACCTACTTTCAGAATCTGGACGGCGCTCCTCTATTTTTGAAACTTTTAAAAAAAGTGGACCACCCTACCGTACACTCTTAGACTGGTATTGACTTTTTTCTCTCCATCGTCGAATTTTAATCCTTTGCCTACGTAGTTTTTTTAGGCAGCAATAATATGTAGCATTTCCCTTACAACCATGTACAATATTGTTCACTATAAAGACTAAATTGTCATCAATAATTGACTATTTTTCAAGTCTGTTGCGTATAGACTCTTTGTCTAATGACAAACTGACTTCAAGTCAATATAACAAACAAAATCTTACATAGATATTGAGGAAATAGTATTTTTTATTGCTGTGTAAAATACTCTTTACCAAAAGATTAAAAGTCAATAACAGTCTGAGAGTGTAAACGATTTACCCCCTGAAACGGCGTGAATCGTTGCCTTAAGGCTTTCTTTGAAAGGGCATTAAAACTTCGCCTAAAAGTCCTATACCATTCAGGCCCTTTCAAGGGCATTAAAGGATTAGCACCCTTAAAGGGCAAAGATATTTATGCCCCAAAGAGCGTAGTTTTAACGCCTTTGTTTTACCAGTGCGCACACTCTTGCAGGAACGTGTCTAGTCAAAGCAATCGCCACATTGGCTGCTCCAGACTCACCTTCAGCTAGGGTGCTTCTCTCCATGGTCCTGTCTTTCAAGGTCCTCCGATTCCTCGGCCTTCACGGAACCTGCAAGCAACACTGCGTTAGTGGAGCCAAAGGGGGAAAACACCGGTCCCCGGGCACGACGGCCACAGTTAACGCGGGCTGTTGCGTCGGAGGCCTAAGTGTTTGGCGGGTGCAGGGCGGAACCACCGTCCGCCGGGGAACCTCGTGCAAGGAGCGCGCCGCATTAGGATTGACACACCGCATTCATGTGGACAGTTAATATTGCCTCAATGCAGAAGATTAGGATTCACGCAGGGCGGATCCAGGTCAACTTGAACGGGGTTTGACCGCTACCCTCTCGGAAATTGCTCGAAACAGTCTTAAATCATTGATCTTCGCCTAAAACCAGCCCACAAAAGTTTGGCTATTAACATTAACATACTAACATTTGGCCGAAATGTGGTACTTTTTTGTGTTTTGGTCCATTTTGGAAAAATTGGTATATTAAAAATTTGATTTTTTAAATATTTTTCTTAATGGGAATTTTTGGAGTTTAATTTGTTTGATATGAGTTGTCCTAATATAGACCAATTCAATTCCGGTCAAAGACCCCACCTCTGTTAATTTACACTGGAGGCTGAAGATTTTCTATTAGGTTTAACTTAAGATCAAAATACCAGACCCTGCCCCACCTTCCATTTCTATGCATGAAAATCTACCTGAGGATTCTAGTAACAACATATCAAAAGTCTGGGACGGCGTTTTTTATTGTAAGGAAAGCGTTCCAGAAAGCGCAAGTTTTGACTTGTCAATTTAGCAGAAACGCAGGAAATTTCACCAAATGCAAAGTACTAGGAGGCCAATTCTGCTATTTTGGCCTCTTTGGGTAGCATCAGAGGCGTAAGGAGTTTGAGAGGGGTAAAATAAAAAAATAAATACGAAGTGCTGGTAATACAAGCAGCAACTTCTGCCAGCTTTTCAACTGGAATTCCAAGAAAATATAATGGTCAAGTACATTGAGGAGTCCTATTCAAAAGATCTTATCTGGGTGTTCCCCCAAGACAATCTTATCTTAAACACATGCGGATTTCACCCAGTTTGATCAGTTGGGACACGTACAAGAGTAAGCGGAATATATTTTTACATGTACAAAAGTACATGATTTCTTTGATCTTTCATTTCCACATTTCAGTGAATTTTATCACAAATGACATTGATTTGTAGCTGTATTAAATGACCAAACTGAGTGAAATTCGCCTGCATTAAAGATAAGTTTGTCTTGGGGGGAACGCGCAGATAAGATCTTTTGAATAAGACCCCTCGACATCTGGCATATGTTTTCATCGATTTTCATCCTTTTCTTCAGCTGTCTCTCATTTTTGTCTACTTCTATCCTGTCTTTTGATGTTTACACAGTTGTAGCTTATGTTCCTTCATTCTGCCTTCCCTAAGTTTAGACAATATCAATACAAGCTAGGTAACAACTTTCAGTATAAGAAAAAGAATCAAAAAACGACATTTTCCCACAAAATTTGTCAAACTTAGAAAAATGAAGATATCTTCAGTGTTATTTGAGCTCGCCAACTTTCCTCATAGGGTTGATAAGTCCTACTGGTATCTATTGAACCAACAAAGGTTGAACTGATTTCATGACCCAATCCTAGATTTTGGTCCACCATGGGCTGGAGTTACTCTTTGTGGTGGGTTCAGTCTTGAGTTGAGTTGACCTTTTGTGTTCCATCACCAAACTGATTTGAAGCCGCATCGGGAAGAATTGGAATTCCCTCCCAACACAAAAGACAGGACATAAAAGGACAAAAATGAGAGAGACAGAAGAAGAAAAGGATGAAAATCGATAAAACATCTGCCAGATGCACTTGACTATTATATTTTCTTGGACTCCCAATTCAAAAGCTGGCAAAAGTTGGTGTTTGCAGTACTATCACAGTTAGTTACTTTTTATTTTACTCCTCTCAAACTCCTAAGGCCTCTGATACTGCGCAAAGAGGCTAAACTAGCAGGATTGACCTCATAGTACTTTGCATTTGGAGAAATTTCGAGCGTTTTAGCTAAATTGACAAGTCAAAAGTTGCGCTTTCTGGAATGCTGTCCTTACAATAAAAATCGCCATCCCAGACTTTTGATATGATGTAACTAGAAACCAAAGATAGACTTTCATGCATAGAAATGGATTTTAAAAGGTAGGGCAAAGTCTGGTATTTTGATCTTTAGTTAAAACTAATAGAAAATCTTCAGCCTCCAGTGTCATTTGACTGAGGTACGGTCTATGACCCAAGTTGCATTGGTCTATTATGACAATTAATATCAAACACATTAGGCCGCAAAAATTAACATTTCAAAATATTTTAAAAATTTCAAATTTTCAATGTATACTTATTTTACCGAGATGGACTAAAAAAAAAGTACCACATTTCGGCCAAATGTTAATATTTAAGACTGATTCGAGCAATTTCCGAGAGGGTAGGTAGGGGTCAAAGCCCGTTCAAGTTGACCTGTATCCGCCCACACCGCATTAATATGCACAATGCCTCCACGCAGAAAGTCAATAGAGGACGATGAAAATATGCAAGGAAATTTGACCTGATCAATACCCAGAGAGACGCCTTGTTACTAACAAATTGATTACTCATATTTACCCATTCAGGTAACAGAAGTGGAGGCGTAAAACTTTTGTACAATTTGGGTTTCCATCATGGTATTTGTATAGCCTACAAAAGAATTCCATGAGCAAAATTCCATGGAATTCTTTTATGAAAAAAAAGAGAAAAAAGGAGGAATTTTTTATTACTGTGTTTAACTTACAGCAGGCCTAGGAGGGGTTCCAGTTATGCCAAGTCAGAATTTCAAATCAATTTGACCTCGACATATAACTTGCATCAGATGCAGAGTCCGATTCATAAAAGTGAAAAAGTGATTTCCGCTTGTAATAGTATTTGTAATGGGGTTTAATTCTAAAACCTGCAGAAAGACAAGAAGTCAAGAATGGAGAAAGAGCTTCATAAACACAAACTCAAAATAATGCCAAAAAATATTACCAATGTGGAGTAGCCTCAACAGCTGAAGTTCAAAGACATAATTGGGTGACTTCCAGAAGAAATTACAACTTCAGGAAAATACTAACTACTTTAAATTCTTCCAGTGTCAATGTAGGCACTTAAAATCTGATTGTTCCACACAGACAATTTTTGTAACAAACCTAAAACAGAACAAAGAACAATGGGTTAGGAGAAAAAACAAACTCAAGCAAACAGAGAGAACAGTCACCATGAATTAAGCTGGTTGTTTCATTACCAACGGCTTCCCAGCACAACTAGTGAACTTGTCCTTTCAACAGCAGTCCTGGAGTGGACGCTGCTTGGTCAGATTTGCATTAGACTTTTGTGTCAGGAATCTAATTGTTTCCATCAAGGAGCTGGAACAAAAAAATAAGACAAAGACAGTCAAGCAAAGACAGTTTCTCAAAAAAGTAAGCAATAATTGCATTTAAAAAAATATTACCATAGTGTATTATAGTCACAGCAGATTAAATTCTTAGATAAAACTGGGTCACTTCCAGAAGACAACACAACTTCTGAGAAATAGTATTGTGTTTCAATTTTTTATTCTACTTTAAATTGACAGGACATCATAGCTGCAATAAAAATACTGAAGATAAAAAAGGGGGTAAAACAAGAAAGCAATAAATTTTTAACTCTTTAACTCAGTACAATTATGAAAGCACCTTTCACAAATCTCTCACCTGATATTACAAAAGCCTCTAACATGCACATTAAGTGAACTGCCTTTCCAGAAAAAAATAAAAATGGCAGAACTAAAAAATTCCCTGTCAGGCGTCACCTGTGTATGACCAGTCTCAATGTATCAGTTATTTCACAAACCAATCAAAGAATTGAAGTCAGGCTGTAATCAAAACATTAAGGTTTAAGGATGGACACTCAATGAACGGCTCTGTCAAGCATGAGCCTCTCACTGTTACTTAGTGAGGTTGATGGGCAACACAATGTTATGGAAGCAACTTGAATTACATTAAGTTACCACGCCCAATGCTTTTGCTGTAGTGAAGGAACTCAGTTAAGATGCAGAGACTGGTGGAGTCAAAGTAAAATCGTACTTCTGAATCGGTTTTATCAAGCTGAGGAAGAAATCTGGAACAAGATAAGGAATGCTCTGCAAACAACTAAGAAACAATACATTAAAGATTGTTTTTTATGACCATACCTGGGGCAGACGAGAAGCTCAAAGCGGAAGACAGGTTCATCACACCAATAGACCAGTTGATTGCATCTTTATCACAAACCAATGAGTGGTTAGGTTAGGTTGGCCGTACAACAAACAGCTGTAATCAAAATACTTGAAACAATAAGGGAAGGCAAAAAAGAAAAGTAAAATATTTTAACTATTGTTTTAACTCACCTGTATTCTGGAAGCAGGTTAAATCATGCTGAGGTTCCACTTAAATAATCTAGTAACTCTGCTGACATGGAGATTCCAATTCCTGCCTATGCAGGGTGGGAAAATTGTTTCTTCTAGTGGTGCTCGACGACATTCAATAAGGAACCTGAACCAAGATACAGAACACTTAGCAAACAACTAAGAAACAACAAAATACAGGCTCTTTAAAAGTTTTAAAAGCCTCTATATCTGCTATCATTTTTCATTTGCTGAGAAAAATTGAAATCGTTTAAACAGAAAATCAAGTTAAGATATCCATTTAATTCCGCTAGCCACTGGAGCCTGCTGCCAACTTCACGTATTGTACCTGACCAGGTATGAATGCAACGGCTTAGTTTCTTTTAAAAAAATAAAGTTACAGCAATGCTAGTTGACTCACTATTAAGGGAATAGACGATGATTTATAAACCATCATCTGGAGAAAAATGGCAAAATTGGTCAGGTTAAGGATCATGGCAAACTTCCCAAATACGTCATCTTTGCTGAATACATGATCTAGGAAACAAGCAAATTGACAAAATTTAAATTTTTCTCTGATCTGGATGAAAAAGCGATACACAAGCACGATAATTACTTGCTTTCTAGAACGGTCGATGCCGCGACCATCACCGACTCAAATTCACATCTCGATGTTCTCTACACAGACTTGAGCAAATTTTCACTAATCAGTGTACGCCAGAAACTCGGGAACCTCGAGGAATACTGATGTGACCTGATAGCACCAGTGATTTCACGAATAGTCACAGTTGATGATTGGATTTGGAATGTTTACATCGACCCAAGAAAACCCTAACCACACTCATCACTCACCATCCCCGTCCCCTTCCCCACCCCACTGCCTCCTACCCCCTCACCCACCTGTATGAGAAATTTATCATTCCGCCACCGCACCGCCTGCTAAGTCAATAACCAGACTTTTAGGACAATAATAACCTTATTCGAGAATATTCAAGCATAAATACTACTTTGAGTGCACTCTAGAAGCTATTTTGCTGTAATATAGAAATCACTTATGATAGACATGGCTTTGAAACGTAGAAACAACTCTCAAACTCCCCTCAGCCGGGTGTGGGACGAAAATGTCGTCTGCTATTCTGCCGTCCTCATAAAACGCCACTTTTTACTTCAAATTCACCATCATGTATCGAAACGGCAGTACATTTAGTTTGAGTACGCCATAAAAAATGTTTCCCACCATATTTGAAGCCTTCGCCGTCTGTGTCCAAAACCTGGAGAAACTCCATCATCGGAGCTCAGCTCTCCTGCCCTGCGCCGGTGTCAAAGCCAAACATAAACAAAAACACCGAAAGGCCCTAGTTTTAGGTGGGTAATAATAATTTTTATAGCATAAGATTTGAATTTATTTGTTCTGATTGTCACAGGGTGCCAATTTCTTTTCTGTTCGCCTAAATCTGCAATCAGTGTTTGCCCTTATTTGCGGTTAATTTCGTTTGTACAGGCTTCGTTTTTTCATCAGGATTCAACCAGACATCAGGACTGGCCCACAAAGCAACAAGTGCATTTGATGCGGACATATTTAACAAAAGGAGACCTTCTGGCACTCAATCCCTCATTTGTATTTGTTGTTAGAACAAATGGCATCAGAACAGCCAGACTTCTCACTTGTGCTGCAGTTTGGTGCAGTTTTTCTTCAAGGTGCTTTTCTGTAATGTTGTCTGAATTGTGAAAAGTAATGAATCCTTGTGCTTATCAGTTCTGGTTTCATTTTGCTGCCAGATACTACATGTTTCGGCACCAGCCTGCACACCAATCCTTGTACGCCTTCTGGACCGATGTGCGTAATATTATGCACTAGACAAGAAGTGACATCAAAGTATGGAAATGATATCAGGACACTCCTGTAGTTTACTCCATATTTCATCGGTGGATCATTCTCTTCCTTCTTCTTCTGTTTAGATTGAGGTTTGTATTGTTCAACAGCAATGATATGTTGTTCATGAGTGGCTTTGGTTCTTGTCTTAAATACATCACTGTTTGTTTCTGTTAGATGTGCCGGGACTTAGAAGAAAGCGAGGAATTTAGTGGATAAATGTGCCGAAAATGACAGCAGTTTGTGTTTTAGTGAACCTTGAGGGGCGTGAGTTTGTCTTGCATTTGTCTGATAACAAGTCCACGACACTAGAAAGAGAATTTGAGCTGTTGTGTGATGTGGACAAGTGGTTGCCGAGGCGAGCTTTGAAGTCCATGCCCACCTACCGAACGCACAATGAATTTTTCTGGAAAATGTTGGAGTTTCCTAGATCGCAGCCAATTCATGATAAAGAAATCATTCACATTGGATGGACTGAGGTTAGTTTCTTCCCCCCCTTCTCCCTTCCAGCATCTTGGCATAGTATTTTGTTTCTATCTCTTTATTCTTTTCTTTTGTTACCACTTAAATATGAGAAATGAACAATTTCATAACTTCATAGTTGTTCTTCATAACTTTCTTGTCCCACCAAGTCCCTATATTTTAATTTGTTTGCTTCAGTTACTTGACGGACTGAGCGGCAACTCAGTTGATTTTTAGTGGAATAACCTAAACCAAGGGCAGCCTACAGGGACATTACCATCCAAAGAAGTAAGTAAATTTGCAACCCCACTAACTAGCAATAACAGGACAGTTTATAAAAGGGAGATAGTAGATTAAAAATATAGAGTAAATGTAAACAGTGAAAAAGTAATCAATAGGCAGTTTGCGGGTGCAACCAATTCGTACTCAGCATTTCCCACTTCTGTGCCCTAACGCAATGAAACTGATTCCACAGAATGCGCTCCATCATCCTGCAGGCAAGAAGAGTGAAAGCTCATTCCTTTCTTCAACCAGGAACGTAGAACAGTGGTCCTCACAAAAACAGGAGGAAATTGTGTAAGTATTGGTAATGTGACCTAATCCCTTGGTGTATTATCAGTCATTGACAATTTATGAAAAGTCTTGGTTCGCAATCTTAAATCATAATGTTCTTCTTTCTAACAGTGGTGCATACCCAAACAGTAGAGCAACCAGCATCAATCAAAGTATGACAAGCAGAGCCCGGAACAAGCAAAAATTAGTCATCAAAAAGTGCACAAGAACCAGGTACAAGTAAACATTCTGAAATGAACTGGACCTTTCTAAAATTTGTTCCTTGGGTGGTAGTGACAGGTAGGTCAATGAACATTCTAGAAAAAAAAAGAAAATAATAGGTAGCAAAGATCACACACACAGAAACTATTTTTTGTTTTCAGTGAGTCTGGGAGTGGGAGTGATGATGAATAACTTGTCTTCTCTGAGCTAAAGGAGTACTTTATTAAGAACACTGGGAAAGCCTTTCAAACAGCGAGAGAAGGGCTTGCGAGAGGAAGTACACGAGGCATGAAGCACTAGTGAAACCAGGCAAGTAAATTTGACTTCCACATTGTAAATTGACTGAAACAAGCACAACAGTTACACCTTTTTCTAATTGATTCTCAGGCCTAGTCATGACATCGTTTCCAGCACAGAGTGAAGTAAAAACAAAGGTACAGGCAAATTGATTCTGGTTTGACCGCAAATGTAATTCATTAATTTTTTTCTAAATTAGTCAGAGCAAAAATCCTACATCAAAGAGCAAGGTATTCAATTCCCTGGTCTAAATTTGCATTATTTTTCTTTCTTGCCGAACAGCTTTACTTCTTTGGTCTGAAGAGGAAAGTGAAGGTGACAATGACCCAGACAACAATTCCAAGGTTGATGGCAGTATCATTCAAGGGAGGATGACATCAACTACGACGAATCATCTGAAAACTGCAAAACACCCGCAAAGAAATCGAAATTAACACAAGAGGTACCATTTAAAGTACAGAAAAGAAGGAAAGGGCCCCATTCAAAACCGGTTGGTGTGAATAATTTGGTGTGATTTATCTGACATTGAATCAAGACTGTCACTCAATTATTCTTTTGATGCAGACTAGACGAGTACATGGGCAGGTGCTCACAGAGAACAACTGCGTACCCAAATTTTCACAACTGGCAGAAGCTTCACTTAATACAGATGAGCCAGATATGAGGCTTATATTACTAGAACTTAGGGCCCATATTAATGGCATTTTGGGGAAGAATCTCCCATCAAATGCACAATATAGAGTGGTAGCAAGTACTCTCAATAAGAAATATCCCATTGTAGCTGATCCTGATAATGCTTATGTAAGGATATTTTAGCAAAGTTTCAAAGGTGGTTCTCTTTATTTTAAATAATGCACCATTGCATTTAATCTTTATTCCAGGAGAACATCAAGTTGAAAGTCAGCGCTTCTCTCAGCAAAAAAAAGGACAAATAATAATAAAGAAAAAAAAAGTTGGAGTAGGAACTAGCAAAATGGAAAGCTACAAAGAAGGCAAAGTCATCAGATCAGCTGAACATAAAAATGTGAGTCTCTTGTAAGAAGTTCCTGGTCCTCCATATCGCTGTTAGCTGATCTCTGCCATGACAACTGTAGAGGCCTTCTTTAGTACTTTCTATTGCAATGTAAGCAAATGTTGTTTGTAGTTTCCAGTCATTCAAACTCTGATCATTTTTTTGACAAATATACTAATTGGCCTCGCAGAGAATAGGAATATCGGTAGAACAGCGTCGTTTGAGGATTGGCCTTCATGCCCGAGGGCACAACCCACTTCCCAACCGTGCAACCAATCATCAGGGAAAGCTTACGGTATCAAAATTAGGAAGCTTATATCATCAATGCTGCTCTGCTTACTTCTGCTGTGAATCTCTGCAATGGAACCAAACCCTGGTCCTCCATGTCACTGTTAGCTGCGCTCTACTCTTACAACAACTGTATTGGCCATCTTTAACGCTCTTTGTTTTAATGTAAGTGAATGTTCTTTTTCTTGTTTCCAGTCATTCAGGCTCTGATAATTTTTTTTTAAAATGGACTAACTGGCTTGTGTTTTATTGCAGGGAATGGGGAATATCAGTGAATGGAAAGAATCATGGTATCAAAATTGGGAAGCTTTTACCATAAATGCTGCTCTGCATACTTCTGCTGCAAGTTACTACACCCCCGCCTCAAGAACTAGAAGGCAAAGTTTGTCCAAATCCGTTTCCACCAAATAAAATTAAAGAGGAAGTTGCCACATTTTATTTAGCACTAGAAGGTAAGAAAGTATTACCATAACTTACTGCCCAATTTATTAGTGAGAATATTTCATATTTTACTTAAATGTCTCACCATTGCTTGAAGAGGGCACTTACAATACTACTACTGTCTGCTAATGTTGCTCAAAGCAGGCACTTTTTGTGGATCCTGTCTATAACATGCACCACAAAAATGTTGACTCTGATCAAGCATCTGAATTTGTTGCAGAAGACAGCAACTTGTGAAAAACATTGCCTTCGTCCCATCCATCGAAATTCAGTTGCCAAGCAGTTTACCAGCCCAGGAAAAAATTGTTCTATATGTTCCATTAAGAAAATGACTAGAGACTATCTCAAAAGATCCAGGAGTCAGACAAGAAATTCTGAAGTCATTTACCCTGACAGCCAACCAGAATGACGTTTTTCGACACTTCAGGGACGGTTCTGAATTTTGAGAACATTTACTTCAAAATGGCCATCATGAGTGTGTTCACCTAATTTTCTTCATGGATGCTCTTGAAATTTGTCCCTTTGGACCAGCAAAAGGGTTGTACAAAACCCATGGAATGTCCTTAACTATTGCAAACCTCCCTGCAGATCATCGTGCAAAGGCAGAGAATGTGCTTTTGGCACTCCTACTCCTTGATGCAAATCTGAAGCCCACCGAGCTAGAATACTGAGAAGAAGTTGGCAAGTTTGAAGAATCCTTTGATCGCCTCATCAAGGACCTTCAAGAGCTGCATTCCAACGGGCTGCAAATCGATGGAACCAAGTATCTAGTTTGCTTTCTATTTTGCTCCATAGACAATCTTGGGGCACACCAAATAAGATCAGTTGTTCAAAGTTTTCTTCATGGTCATTGCTCGAGGGTTGAAAGATTGAAAATTCTCTTGCCTGATTGCCTGATCTCAATAGCATACATCATGTCTCATTATGCAGCCCTTACGCTTCAGCCCTCTGATTCGTTTATGGACTTAAAGATTTGAAAGTAAACATGTTTTCTTTAAAGATGTCGCAAAAATATTTAAGAGTTTCAAGAAAATTTTAATAACTCTAGCAAGGAAGTACCAATTCAAGTTTGCCTTTGATCACCTCTCTGGATACCTTTCCCCTGATGTAGTTTTTCATTCAGAGCCTCCAGAGATAACTTCAGAAGATTTTCAACTGTTGTGCGAAAACTGTTACCTCCATACGATGGCAACATTCATGAGAAAGGGCGCAGCATTAAACTAAAAACATTTTATGAGCTGACTGTAAAAAGTGTCCATGACAAAAACAATATCAGTGATTTGTGGGGATGTTATTGTACATTTTGTTCTCAAATTGTATCTGCTGAAAATTCCCACAATGGGTCGGTATTATGTCATCAATGAATGTGATTATGGTATCAAAGTTAATGCTGTAGGAGACCTTCCAGCTTATGTATATGAGGGCAAACATTGTAGTACTTTAAAGCACTCACTCATTTTTATGTAAATATACTTCTTATAGATGATTAAGACTAGACAGCCATAATTATTGTCAAGTGTAAACATCAAGTGAGTGTGCATAGTTTAGAAGTAAGATTATAGATTGTTCACAAAAGAGGCTGTTTTTTCATGCACAGACATAATGACTCCTTTTTATGCAATGTTCTTGATAGTTCTTGTATCGGCGAGGGACTTTTCTGTGATCAGCCATTCAAAATTGCGACAGAATTATTCATGTACTGAAAAGATTCGATTCAGTCTAAGAGCTTTTGAGAGCAGGATTGTTCAGCCAACTGAGACTTCCACAACCTAAACTATTTCCATCATTGAACTTGATGTGACTTTTAGTACAATAGAGCAAAAAAAAAAATATTTTGGAAATTTTTTACATAAGAGGTTTTCTTTCTTTGTGGAGACAAAATGGCTCCTTTTTCATGCAATGCATATCTCAGATCCACTCAAATAATAAACAGACAGAAAGAATAATAGTATGGCACATACTGTAGAACTATTTTCATGCATTTAACACTGCAACAATGACAAATCAAACGGATGAAGCCTACTGTAAATCTTAAAATATATTAAAATACTAATTTATATCCTGTTATTTACTTGTTACTTTAATCTATTATTGCTGTTTGGTCATGTCCACAGAACAAGTATTGTGCTCATCGCTCTTTTCTGCCTGACATTGTTCATCATCAAAAGTATAACTCAAACATACTACTCTTGGTGCAATTCTGGAAGCTCTCATCACCATCATTAGACAAACTTCGAGGCTTTTTTCAAGTGCCTTGGTAGAATCTTGAGGAATATCAATTTAATCAATTAAAAAAAAAAGCACCAGGATGGTTTTTTCCACATTTTTCAAGTAACTTTTTCAGGATAATTTGCTCTGAGGCATGCTATAATAGGTCAATGGAAGTTAAAAATTAGAAATTTGTGCCATATCAAAAAGTGACTTTCCAATTGATTTTTCGCGAGATTTCACCAATGCACTAAACACCTCGAGGTTTGTTAAATGATGGTGATGAGAGCTTTCAGAATTGCACGAAGAGCATTTTGAATGAGTACCTCAGGAACAAAAACAATAACAAAAAGTTAGATAAATGAGATGGATGAAGGTGCTTTCCCAAAGCTTGTCAAGCTTGGCTTGCAATCAACATGATAAATAAAGGAGCGGGCTTTAAACAAATAATTTCACGATCACAATATCCAAAGCTGGTTTGGTCTAGGGAACGCGGAACTGAAGCACCTCCAACCATCTGCAGTAGCATTGTCCTTGAATTGGTATCCCAGCTGGACAAGACCCCACTACATGCAGATGAGTACCTGAGGAACAAAACAATAACAAAAAACTAGACAACTGAAGAAGATGACAGTGCTTCCCAGACTTTTGACAATCTTGTCCTCTCAAGGAACTAATATATCATGTCAAAGCAACAAGCAGTAAAACAAGGTAGCCAGGTTGTCAATTCAAAGTGTCAAAGAAAAGCTGATACCAAAGTGAAAAGCAAGTGAGTACGTGCAAATCACTACGGGTACTTTCCTTGCGACACTGGCACTGGCAGGTGCTTTCCATGACAGAATGTCAGGCCTTGAGATTGCCTTGAGACAAAGCTTGTCAGAATTGGCCCAAATTTTTTTTGGTGACTTTTCCTTACTGGTAGACACTAAAAAAATATTTACTTTCTTAAAAAAAATTTGTATGTTTGATGAACAATTTTTACTACAAATTATAAAAACTGCAAATACCAGAAAAGACGTCATCATGGATTTGGCTGAAAATTTTTTGGTAGACTCCCCCATTAGTGTACTAAGAGCCTGCAATCACCCATTGAGGGCTCCATGTACACTAAAGGAGAAAAAAAAACGTTATGTTGAAATTGTTTTTTTTTTTTTTTTTTCACTGTTTTGGGCTAAATTGACACACTGTGGGTTCCGTCTCATTTTTGACCCTAACGCTTGGATCACGCAATTGAAACAGCAATTGATTCAAAACTCATATGGCAATATCTCAGGCTTCTCGTGCTCTTATTCTACAGGTTGTGAACCAGGTCATGAAATAAACTGGTGGCCCATTTACCCCAATCCCTCCAATCAAAGAAAATACTTGATGCAACAGAATGCAATGACTCCATGCACCACTAATTTATTTCATGGCCTAGTTCACAACGTTTACAACAAGAGCACGAGCAAGGCTGAGATATTGCCATATGAGTTTTGAATCAGTCAATTCAGCCCAAAATAGTGAAAACTCCCCAAATTTCAACACAATTGATTTTTTCCTCCTTTCCTCTACATGGGGCCCTCAATGGGTGATTGCAGGCTCTTCGTACACTAATAGGGAAGTCCACCAAAAAATTTTCAGCCAAATCTATGGTGGCGTCTTTTTTTATATTTGCAGTTTTCATTAATTTGTCGTGAAAATTGTTCACCAAAAATACAAAAAATTTAGAACCTTCGTCTCAAGGCCTGTTATTCTGTCATGGAATGCACTTGGCAGCCCTCACAGGAGAAGAGAGGATAGTCAATAGTAACAATGCATCATGGTAGGGACTGAAGGGACTGGAAATATTGGTAGGGAAAGGGACTGCAGGCAGGATGACTGCAGGACCGTAGCCATGTACAGTGGGCCAGAAGACCGGTGGAGGCGGCTGAAATTCTAGACGCGTCTTGAACTCCAGAGTCGCTAAAAGTGACGCAAACCGATCGTGTGACCCTACCAACGGACTGCTCTCCGAACGAGGAGGGGCGACACGTTCGATTCGAGCCCTGTTTAGTGACTCTGAAGCTCAAAACGCGTCTAGAATTTTTGCCGCCTCCACACGTCTTCTGGCCCACTGTGTCATGTCTTTCTGTCTCTGCAAAGGGGGGGGGGGCATGAGGGCAAATGAGACAAAATATTTGTGTTCACTGCTATTCAATTGGCAACATTCCTTGCCACTCCAGTTGTACTTCCGCTTGAATGCGAAAATTTGTTCTAGTGGGAGTGCCGGGGAGTGCCGGGGAGTGCCCAATTTTGGCACTCTTGTGCGGCGGGCGATCCGGGTCATGGAGAGGGCCAAACTTTGGCATTCAAAACGGAGTGCCACTGAAGCATGAAGCAGAATTTTGTTCCGTGTATGAAGGCCAAGCAAACTGTGGCGTGCGCGGGAGGGAGCGGGAGCCCTTTTGGCACTAGACAGCCGCCTGGAGGGTAGGCAAAAAGCATGCCCCCCCTCTTTTCTTTCTCCAAATTTCTGCGCACGCCACTGCAAGCAGAATTTTTACCAATGGAATTGCAGTGTTTTGGTATTGTTTTGCCTCGCGTGCACCGTGCAACCGCAACTTCAAAAAAAACGCGTTTCGAATATTCAGTCGGGAGTGGCGTGGCGTGGTAGGCGAGGCTAGAACTCCGCGTCGCGCGGTGTCTCCACCAGCTCACCGGCCCTGGAATTCGCTGACTGGCAATCGGCGCGGCCGGCCGGGCCGAGGCACAGTGGGCCAGAAGACCGGTGGAGGCGGCCAAAACTCCAGACGCGTTTTGAGCTCCAGAGTCGCTAAACAGGCCTGGAACCGAACGTGTGACCCCACCAATAGATTCCTCGTTCGGAGGGCAATCCATTGGTGGGGTCACACGTTCGGTTCGAGTCCCACTTAGCGACTCTGGAGCTCAAAACGCGTCTGGAGTTTTGGCCGCCTCCACCGGTCTTCCGGCCCACTGTGCGAGGCAGTGGCGAGGGCAGTGGCAGCACGGAGACAATCCCTGGTGGCAGTGGCGAAGCCCGCAGAACTGTCGCACACGAAATTGCCAGCCACAATTTTTAGCAACGATACATTTATGTACACAGCTAAACGCAAAAATAAATTAAAATTATGAATCCGTTAGAATGCTTGTACTCTCGTGCGAGCAGGCAGAGCGCGCTGGCTAGGCAGCGGCTGGATTTTGAGTGGAGGGCCCGGCGCAGAGCGTACCGCACCGCACCCACATCGTGCCGCGCAGTGATCACTGAAAAACCAAACGTGGTCTAGACCGCACCACTGGTGTGGTCAAATGGGTGCCATGTTGACCGCATCAGTTGGTGTGGTTTAGACCACGTTTGGCCACGTTTGGTGTGGTCGTGGTCTTTCCAAGCAATGACCACACCAAATGCACCAAACGTGGTCTAGACCGCGTCTAGCCGTATCTGATGCGGTCAAAATGGCACCCATATGACCACACCAGTTGGTGCGGTCTAGACCACGTTTGGTTTTTCAGTGATGTCATAGGGGCGGCTGTGGATTACACGGTAAAAACGGAACCTGGTTTTCCCAGGAAGCCAATGGTAAAGGTATAGGCAATTTCCAGGGGGTTCCTGGGAAAACCAGGGACCGTTTTTACCGTGTAGGGTTTCGCGAAAAACACTTTTTTCCTAAATTGATATCGGCTCGGGTGGCAAAGTGTTCTCTCAGGGGCCTATGAACGATTGGCAAACCTAACCCACAGTGTGGGTGTGGGGGCTCGGATGGCCCGCGCTGTGTTTGAGCATCGTGTCACAGTCGTTTTTTGACCGATTCACACCCAAACGAATGCTACACAATGCTCAAACGAACGTGAAATTTTGCCACGTTCGTTTCAACGTGATGTCACATTCCTGGAATGAGAGTGCCCTCGGTGTCTGGCGCAGGGGATGGCGGGCGCGATTCCGCCGCCAGGGCTCCTCGCTCTGTCTTACTCGCACCCCTACGCAACACCCCGTGAGTGCGAGAGAGACAGCGAGGAGTCCGGGCCGGTCCGGGCGGCGGAATCGCTCGATCGGCTTGCCTCGAAAAGTGACCAGCCGACGCGGCCCCAGCGCCCTGCGGCCTGCGGCACCGTTTGAGCGCCTGGAAGGTACGCAACCACTCTGGCCGGGAGTGCCTGGTGCCTGGTGAGGGAGTGCCTGGTGAACGTCAAGCAAATTGGACGGATACTGCAAATCATTATGCCGCTTTCGAGGGGGAATTCACTATACCTAAAACGCTCCCGTTGCCGGCGCTCGTCTCCCCGTCTCTCTCGCACTCTTGGAGTGTGCCGCAGGCGTGCGAGAGAGACAGAGTGACTGGTGCGGCCCACGAAATCGGGCGGCAGGCGGGCAGGAGCGCGCAGCAGTGCAGCCATGCCAACAAGTGGCATTGCACGAAGAAGGCCGCACTGTGAGAAAAAAGTACGGAAAAAGTACGGAACATGTCTGGTCAATAATTTGCCTGGACCGTGGACCGTCTATACTTGCCAACTACGGAACGTTCCGTACTTTTTTCCGTACCCATTTACATGGGTTCATATGGAGCAAACACGGAACGTTCGCCGTACTTTTCTTTGTACCTCCGTACTATGTTTTTCTGTACCATTTCCATACAAAAGTACGAAATTTTTTAGAGTGCGGTCATGCTGGAAACGGGCCGGCTCGCAGGGCTTGTAGGTCCTTCGGCCTGCATTTTCAGCCGCAGAGCACGTCCTACCAGCGTGCAGCGCGCGCCTGCGAGCAAGCCCCGTGCGCTCCACGCCTGTCAGGGGTTGCCTTTGTGAAGGGCGCTCTCCGAGCTTGTGACCGGTGCACCGGTCCAATAACCGACCCTGCACTTCTTCCGCCTGCAAAACGCTGCTATAGACATCGATAG